GGACCGGACATTGAACCTCAATGCAGCCCCGCCCCCGCCTTTATTCGTTTTACTGATTATCTATCTACTGGTTATGAAATAAATAACATTTGTATATTATGTATTTAATGTACACATTGGAGGCGATGGTCAGTTTCCGAACCGCCGAATATGTAGATGGGAGATGAGATTATGATTATTCGCGCTGTTTGAGTTTCCGTTTCCACGAATTCCCCTGTGATGCAGTCCTTTCTATAAGTATCATCAGCATACTTGCACGTGTAGCTACAGCAGGACTACCTATGTGCACAAGACTACACACGCACGTACATATAAACTTGAATTCCTAAATAGAATTTTTGCTATAACTAAAATGCACCAGGCGCTTCGATATTCAATTGTTTTTGCCTAAATAGTTCCACGTATTATCAACTGCTCTGGCGTGATTATTTTCCGTTCCAACTTAAGCGGATGTTGACAGAATTCTTTGCAACGCACGAGGTAAAAAAAAAAAAGATAACGATAGTTTATGATACATATCATGAAGTATATAATACTGCCATTATACGAATATGAATAGTTGAACATGGTGATATGAATAGACGAAGATAAATATTATTTTTTCAGTCTTAGACTAGGGTGAACATATATTACTGTCGTTATGATTACTATATTACAATTACTATAACTTTTATAATCAATTATGTTATCAATATTATCAAGATTATTATTTATATTATCTATTAAATAATTACCATACACAATAAACAGAGTCACAATGAAAATAACTTTTCACCATTTTAATCATACATGAATGTACACATGCTGTACGCGCATTCGAACAAAGCTATATTTGCCCATTGCCCATGGTCAGACTACAATGCACACATTCAGAGGAAATTAATTTATTAATTTATGACCTGGTCATGTGCCCTTGACATCTACCATTCAGCAGCGCCATGCATGCGCGTTTACCACTTCCGAAAAAGGGCGGCTGTTTGGGCGTCAGCTGCCCCACTCCCGAGGGTGACTTCTCTAGATCTGGTGGCTATTGTTAGCTCAGATCATGGATCTGAATTGCTTTGGAATACATTTAGGAGTAACATTCTTTCCATTTTTAGATATAGATAAATAATATGTTATAACATACAACTGTCTCGCATTACTGATCTGAAAGATTATGTTACATTGTTTTTGTAATACTAAAAATCTAATGAATTCATCCACCTGTAGTTTTCTTGCAAACAAACCTCCAAAACTATAAATGTCAATTTCCTACAGTAATTCAGTATACCATAGAACTCAATGGCTGTTTATGCTATTTAGAATCAACATCTTACCAATCGTTCTACATGACAAAAACTGGTGTCCCCGAAAAATAACAGCCAAATACATAACAAGGCGCAAGCGAAAGGAAAAATACATGAAGCAGCGAATAATCATAATTGCAGTGGCCTTGGAAGTCGGAAGTTCGTGCGCGCTGGCACTTGTGTTGCTGGATTAACCTTATGGCGCGCGGCTTTTAAATTCACATTTTGTCATATACGAAAATGTTTTAGTTTAACATGAATGTCTTAAATAAAAGTTTTCTTTTCTCTCTCTCTTTTATCCGCCATTATTAGAGAACAAACTTAGCACATCCATTTGTTTTACCCATTAACCATTAAGAACACTGTGAAAAATATTGTACGTTTAATATTATTCACAAATAAGTGAAGGCATTTTCGTTTCTCATCCTATTTAAAGGTGAACACAGTCAAAATTATATTTCTCTGAATATCTACGCAAAAGACAAAGTAAAGAGAACTGACAAGAATCGAAGGCGAGCGCTTCGGCTGAAAAGGTCATCAGATGGACGCACGCGAATACCGACGTTATATTTCGTTTATTTCAAGTTCAAATTTGCTAACACGAAGACATTATTGCGAAATTATACTATTTCACTTACGCTAGTTTGTATGCGTTTAATTATGAATATGCTATAAAGTGTCATTTTTCTCGTGTTTCTAGTGGAATATCATTGCTGACATACTGTTAACTAATATGTGCACCTCTAGTAATACATAGACTGAAAAAAAAATACCTCCTCGCCCTTTAGGTACCTTTTCCATGCAAGCCAAGACACCTCTGACCTTACTTCTATCACGAGCGGAAAGCAAGACTTTTTTCCCAAAGGTCCCTCCTAATCAACCAGGTAATGCAAGTCAGTCGATCCACAGTATCCGCTGACTTGGTAATTCGACCACCTCCTCCTCCTCTTCTTCTTTTCTTTCTTTTTTTCTTCTTCTTGACCTTCGTCTTCGTTTTCTTCTTTACACAACCACCACCACTTCCACTTCCTCCTCCTCCTCCTCCTCTTCTTCTTTTCCTACTCTTCTTCTTTTCTTTCTTTTTTTCTTCTTCTTGACCTTCGTCTTCGCTTTCTTCTTTCCACATCAACCACCACCACCCCCCACCACCACTTCCACTTTCTCCTCCTCCTCCTCCACTACCACCACCATCTCCTCTTGTTAATCCAGAG